CTGTGACGTACAGATTCCCAATGCGCATAGCGTTTGGCTAACTTCGGCTCCAAGATCGAATGTATCATGGGATGCCTGCTGTCAGTCATGACGCTATGTTCGTAGTTTTGGGCTAATTGAACCGCTGATTTTAAAGATACAGATACATGCCTATTGTATTTGTACATATTCGCCCAAGATTCTTCAGTCTCCCGATAGCTTCTTCCAGGGCTCCGTGCTGTTTTTCTTGTTTTGATGCAGATATCGATGCCGCGTTCTACGACCCTGACTTGAATATGTTGTTCACTTCGGAGCTCGAAAGCTTTACGCGCCAGCATCCCACGTTTTCGTTTCAACTCTGGCGGCAAATCTGTTCTGATGCTCTTGTCGGTTCCGGCTAGGTTTCTCCCCGCGCGTAGAATGGTTTCTCTCTCTGTCCAGTATCTAAAAACGACGATTATTGGTGTGGGTCCATTGTCATGTTTCCTTAGGCGATGTGCATTGCGGATTGATAATCTCATCACGTATTGTTCTTCCAGTTTTAGGTCATCGACTGCAAAAATGTTTATTCTTTCTATAGTGCGTGCTGGTTCATTCTCGTATCCCTCGACTCCATAGATAAGGAGGTTATACTTTCTGCCGTGGACTTGCGTATGGAGGAGCGACTGCTTTAGTGTTTCGACTTCTTGTGTTAAATTTTGTAGCTGTGCTCGATCTTCGCTAGAGCTGGTTTTTTTTTTAACCGAGTCAACCTCCATCTCTAGGTTTTCCATTTTTTCGGTTAAAACTTAAAGTGGTGATCTTCTCTGTGACGTCGGAAAACCCCGCTTCTAATTTGTTATTCAGATAATTTGGCTGACGATGAGTTCTCGCAGCTCCGCGTTTGTGACCTCGGCACCGGCTTTATCGTTGTGCGCCATTGCAGTAGCCATGCTAACTGAAGTGCCGGGTTTAGCGTTCATAGAAATATCCACTGTCTCCTTTCGTTCCTTGTTTTGCCTCGTCACGTAGTTGTGCATGGAGTTTTTCGAGACCTTCTGCTTAGTTCCACGCATAATATGTCGATTTTTTGGATACTTTTCCTTTAACTTTCTCAAAATATATTGGAGCCGATGTATAACACGTCTTATTCACTGGGCGCCATTACCGGAAGTCTGAAGGTTTCAACCGTGTTAGCGAGTATATATATATATATAATATATATATACAAATAGAGATTTATAGTTAGCGAGTACCTACATTTTTAGCTCACCTTGACATCGTCAAGATGAGCTATTGCCATGGGTCGTCGTCTGTCGTACGTCCGTCCGTTCGTCCGTCTGTCGTCCGTCCTTCCGTCAACATTTGGCTACGGTCAACGATAACTCAGGAACCGTTTGACCCACATGTTTGAAATTGGGTATAGTTGTTACTGCTATGATAGTACTAGTAGTAATGAAATAACGCACGCAGCACTGCTCACCGGAAGCCAACCATTGTCCACCAGAGTTGGAGAACTCAATAGCATTCACACAGCCAAAATGACCCTGGAGGTCTTTTCTGTATAAGCTAGAGGAGTTTATTAACTTTCTGCGGAGCAGCTGATATTTTAGATAGGAATCGACATTTCTCTGTCTATCAATTACGTATTTTGCAATAGAATAATGCGATTTTTGCGCATTTGCTCCACTGCCGTGGGACGCCATGTTTGTTGACATGCTAGTAACACTTCCGGGTTAGGTCATGAAAGTCACGTGACGTCCTTCGTGATGAAACGATTGCGAAATTGCCAAATTCTATGGAATAATTCGAGTTATCACAGGTACATTCCCTTTCCATCGCGCAGACTACTTCTTCCTGGCGTAGATGCATGCATTTCGGTCTCCTTTTACTGCCTACATGTTGCTACAAACATGTTTAACTTGGACCTGGAAAGTTAGGTTGTGGCCATGACACCTTGGCACGAAATCAACACGAGCGGCGCTGCATACGTACGCGAGCCAATCACATAACGCGACCCCGATCGACAATTGTTGTTCGCCGTGGACGAATGTCGAGTTTTCCTGGTTTGTGTAATCCACAAATGATAAATCAGCTGATTTGTGGTCAGATTTTATTAATGATTGCGTGACGTAAAAGCGAGTGGACTTGAAATTAATAAGGCGCCAAGAATTCATGGTAAGACTCGGTGATTATACATGAAAATGTTGAAGAGTTTAACCCTATGTAACCCGGTACACGGTGAATGATGGGTGCTTGTCGTTGACGTCGTTGATCGCAGGCCCTAGTTTGATCTTTCTCATGTTACTTGTTAGTTATGTTCCCGGGTTCTGCTTAGACAAATTAGGCTTAGTGAATGTAGTGGGCACTCTTTAGATAATCTCTATGCATCGGTCATGCTGTTACTAACAGTTATTGTACACACGTGTTTTTACTAGAAGATGAATGGCTTAAGTTAAAATCACGATTGCAAGTTACAGTTAAATTTCGAACAGGGTTGATCCATTACGTGGCAGGCACATACAGTAAATGGTATGAATGTAGGTATACTGGCATGTAGCACACATGGATCCATGGTAATAGTAATACTATTTCAAATAATAACATTTATAGCATAATTTCTTGATTATCAGAAGTTAAATTATGTATAATTTCATTCAACTAAGTAGCATTAAAGTAGGTACTTATTAAGTGTAAATTTGTATGACATAACATGTCTTGGTTTATATCGACAAAGTATTTAGAGGTAAAGCTAAGTAATAAGTGTGCCCAAGTAACATGCAACATATGTTTAGTAGCTACAATAATGTAACCCAACAAGAGTAGGGTTACAACGCGAGCCCATTCTTTTCTTTGGAGGAGCCCCTGAGTGATTCACTCAGGGCAGTTTTATGGTGCGTTTTTTGAGACTACAACTTCCAAACTGGGTTTATTCTAAACACGAACCTTTCTCTGCTATCCGGGGACTTGCTATGTATCACAATACTCTGTATTAAACTATTATAACCTGTTACAAAATTTCGAAATGACGAGCAGCGATATTTCGAGCACCATTTCTGTTGACCTGTGACGTACAGATTCCCAATGCGCATAGCGTTTGGCTAACTTCGGCTCCAAGATCGAATGTATCATGGGATGCCTGCTACAGGTCAGTGTCATCATGACCTATCGTTCGTTAGTTTTGGGCTAATTGAAACGCTGAATTTTAAGATACAGATACATGGCCTATATTAGTATGTTTGCAGTATCATAATTGGCCGCAAAATTGCTTCTCTGCGCAGGCGGCCCGACTAGGCTGAATTTGCTTCACGGCGAAAGGCTCCGTACGTGTTTTTTCTTGTTTTGATGCAGATATTCGTTGCCACAACGGTGCAGATGTAAAGTCAAATGATAAAATATTCAACACTATCCGAGGCTGGTTCGCCAGGCAGCGGGATCGAGCAGAATCCGGAGCGTTCTACCGAACCTCAGGGCTTGAATATGTGTTCACACTTCAGAGCTCGAAAAGCTTTTACGCCGGTCCAGCATTCCCAGCGTTTTCGTTCAACCTGGCCGCACAATCGTCTGACTGCTCTTGTCGGTTTCCGGCCTAGGTTCTACCCCGAGCGTAGAAATGGTTTCTCTCTCTGTCCAGTATCTAAAGAACGACGATTATTAGGTGTGGGTCCATTGTCCATGTGTCCCCGTTAGGCGATGTGCATTGCGGAATTGATAATCTGCATACAGCGTATTGTGTCTTCGCCAAGGTTTTAGGTCAATCGTTGCCGGCAAGACTGCAAAAATGTTTATTCTTTCTATATGCGTGCATGTGTTCATTCTCGTGTATCCCCCTCGACCCACTAGCAAGGGTTCTACCCCAGGATGAAATTCAAAACGAGGGGAGGGAAATGGGGGGACCGAGGGCGTGTTTTTTAAACCGCGACGTACCCACTAATTCAATAGCAGTAAAAATCGTCACCGAAAAGACAGCCATAGACTGGTGATTTGGGTTCTTGTATCTAGTATAAGAAATACGCGTGAAAGTAGTGTGTGTTACAGGTTGACTGTTTGTACTTGGTATTGTCTCACTGCACGCGTGGGCAGGGTAAAAAATACTACTGCCAAGGGTGTCCTGGCGAAATGGAATTCTTGACGATCGATTCCCCATCCGCTGGCAAACTTCTTATTGTGGGGAATTTAATCGGAGGCGGAGGTATTTTTAACGGGGCGAGCAGACGACTTGAAACAGGGGAGTTTTCCCAAACGGGGCAGCGCGGGCGCGCCCGTTTTTGCAGCAACGTAGGGAGATAACCCTGCATAATAAGGAGGTATACTTCTGGCCGTGACTTGCGGTATGGAGGAGCGACGCGCTTTTAGTCCTTTCGACTTCTTGTGTTAAATTTTGTAGCTGTGCTCTGAGTCTCCGCTCTGGTTTTTGTTAACCGAGTCAACCTCTCATCTCTAAGGTTTTGCCATTTTTTTCGAGGTTTAAATAACTTAAAGTGGTCGATTTTCTCTGTGACGTCGAAAACCCCGCTTCTAATTTGTTATTTCAGGATAATTTGCTGAGCCGATGAGTTCTCCGGCAGGCTCCGCGTTTGTTGACCTCCGGCCCGCTTGTCATTCGTTGTCCGGCCATATGCGTAGTCCATGTAACATGAATTGCGGGTTTAGCGTTCATTAAGAATAATCAACTGTCCATCTTCGTCCTTGTTTTGCCCCTCGGCTAGTTTGTTCATTAGGAGTTTTTCGATGACTTCAGTTAGTTCACACGCATAATTTGTCGATTTTTGGATAACTTTTCCTTTAAACTTTCTCAAAATATATGGAGCCGAAGTATGTATAACACGTCTTATTCACTGGCGCACATTACCGGGTCTGACGGTTCAACCGCGTGTTAACGAGTATATATATATAATATATATATAGCTCAAATAGAGATATATAGTTAGCGGTACTACTTTTAGCTCACACTTGCATGCGATGACTATTCCTATGTTCCGTCGTCCGTCGTATGTACGGTCCGATTCCGTTTACGTCCTCCGTTCTTCCGTCAACATTTGGCTACGGTCAGACGATAACTCAGGAACCGTTTGACCCACATGTTGTAAATTGGGTATAGTTGTTACGCTAATGCTCCAAATAGTTGAACGGTCCATTTTTGGCGAGCAACGCCAGTACCGAAGTACTTTCGAGCCACAGTAATATTTTGGCAAAATGGGAATTGCCATTAGATTCAATGTTCAATGAATTCTTGCATCATTTTGGTAATTGAGTATGATAAGCGGCCAGGGGTTTTGATTTAAAAAAAAATTAGGTAGGTTTTTGGCAATTATATATCATATTATGTATAGACATGCAGATACACATTCTGTGGTGTCACACATCGTCTGGCTTTCGTTTTACAAGATTTTCATTGACAGATACTTAAATGCAAATTGGGAATTATCCATCTCCACCCTGCCGATAAAACATCTATATTAGAGAAAAGTTTACAAAACCATGTCGTAACGTCGACGCAGCATAACCTATTTATTTCGAATGCCATCCAGCTAATAGGAAACATCAAACGGGAGCGCCAGACTCCGCCACAAATTGTGATTCTTTTTTTTTTTTGGCGATATATAACAGATGCATGACCATGTCTACCCCGCCTAGAAAAACTCATCGCGCCTGCAACATGCAATTACCGTTTGACAGAAAGTTGTGTTTTGGGCGGGAAGACACCCAAGTTGTCCACGTGGTATATAAAGCAGCTTACGTGGGTATCCTTCTCGTTCATCGGGCTCTTTGCCAGTGCTAGCTGAATAATTAATAGAGAAACTTAAATGGCGATCGATATTATGTGTAAATGCCAATCACTATCCACATCTCAGACTTTCACATCTCAAACTTATTTTCACAATAAAAAATTACACATAATTATCAAGAGTATAATAATAGAGTTTCTCCGCATATATATTATATACTCTTCGTTTCTAATCGTCGATGGTTGGCTCAATATGGTTTTTCCTCACATCATTTGTCTTTTTGTGTGAGCTTGTGTCATACACTTTCAATTATTTATGGGAATAGTCTGTGTTTCTGGATTGATGTTTCAACATTACACTGAAGTCAGAATGCAAGCCTGAAAACATGACATTGATTATAACAAAAAATTTGTGAGGCTGGTAAAATTGCTGTTACAGCCCCTGGGCCGGTGGGACAAAACTGAATTCGGTGCCGTTGCTAACGGTCTTTTATTGTCTAGTCTTACCACAGAGCTTTCTGTACTGTGCTTTCTGTGGTGAGTATTCCTCCATTATCTGTTGGTTAAGTTTGATTCAAGGCCAGGTTCACCATACAAGTCCAGTTAAGATTCAAAGTTATATACTTTCAAGCATCGTAGTTGCATATTGCTCTATATGTTTTTATGTGGCACTGTTTGCTTCCAAAGACAGCCATGGAATGCTAATGATCGATTTGCTGTAGAATCTGTGCGTGAAATATACCATGATGGAGCATTGTTGATGGCTTAACTCTAATTCTCTGTTCATCATTCTCGTCATTGTTGGTGGGTGCCGGCGATCTACCTCCTATGATCCTAAATAGGGCACAGCGGATAACTTGTGGAGGATGAGATGTCGTGTGTTTAGCTCCTTGCTGTGTAGCAAGAGACAGTTAAAGGTTTGCTTGTAGTGTCCATGCAATTCTGCAATTAGATCATATTGTGAAAACTACACGATAATCAATAGGAGGCGAAACACGAGCTGCTCACAGTCGAATGTCTCATTAGCAGCTCATTGATGGTAATTTGCCAGGTAAAGCAGACGCTGTGGCCGCATGATTCCTTCTCATAACACTGGCAGATGTGGACGTAGGTGGATGACAGTTGGTCGGGTGTCTAAGAATAATCTGTTGAAATCTATAGGCTACCCTCAAAGATATTTTAATGAAAACTCCAGAGTCTTGCCATACAAGGGTGGAAATGCCCGCTTCCAGTTGTAGCTTTTTGAAGGAGAGTGTTTTTATTTATATTTACGTGATACAGTAAATTGCTCACGGCACTCTCGACATACCTTGCTGCTGTTTGTCATCCCACATAGGGGGGAACGTAATCTGTCCCACTGCTTTGTTTGAAACTTGATTCTCGAACACCAACGGTGGTATTTGGCGTTAACGTTGTGCATTAGTCCTATTCTAAACAGCATAGCTTTATG